ACGCAAACAGCGAGAGACGCAAACAGCGAGAGACGCAAACAACGAGAGACGCAAACAACGAGAGACGCAAACAGCGAGAGACGCAAACAGCGAGAGACGCAAACAGCGAGAGACGCAAACAGCGAGAGACGCAAACAGCGAGAGACGCAAGCAGCGAGAGACGCAAACAGCGAGAGACGCAAACAGCGAGAGACGCAAACAGCGAGAGACGCAAACAGCGAGAAACGCAAACAGCAAGAGACGCAAATAACGAGACGCAAACAACGAGAGACGCAAACGAGAGACGCAAACAGCGAGAGACGCAAACAACGAGAGACGCAAACAACGAGAGACGCAAACAGCGAGAGACGCAAACAGCGAGAGACGCAAACAACGAGAGACGCAAACAGCGAGACGCAAACAACGAGAGACGCAAACAACGAGAGACGCAAACAACATGAGACGCAAACAACATGAGACGCAAACAACATGAGACGCAAACAACATGAGACGCAAACAACATGAGACGCAAACAACATGAGACGCAAACAACATGAGACGCAAACAGCGAGAGACGCAAACAGCGAGAGACGCAAACAGCGAGAGACGCAAACAGCGAGAGACGCAAACAGCGAGAGACGCAAACAACATGAGACGCAAACAACGACAGACGCAAACAGCGAGAGACGCAAACAATTGATCTTCGCTACTTAAATGCATTCACCGGTGTCATAAAGTAGATACATATGACGCACTCGGTACCGTCTATCGACTGTTATTTTACAAAACCCCGACGCCTGCCGTGTTTCGAGGCGTTGTATGAGCGAGTTGCGCCAATCCTTCACTCGCGGCTAAATTTAGTTTCGTGTATATCGCCCGTTTGGTGTTTCGACGCACAGACCAACACCGGACCCAAATTGACTGTGATAACATGTGATGATCCGGAAGTCTTGCCAACTTCTGACGAACTGTTTTCGTGAAGACACGAAGCGTAAATCAGGTTAAATTTGCTTTATTTGTGCGTGATTAATTCATATTAGCCAGACCTCTTTGTTTCTCTCTCGACTGATATCAGTGGTCACATTATTCCTTATGACATCCCTTTAGTGCTTTGTTAGTTGTTGGATATCTTAAATTCACATTTAGCAGTGATAACGACCAACTGTGAAGTCACATGAACTGTGACTGGAGATGACTGGATTATCCTCATGGTTCACCGTGTACCACACCCGCCCAGGAATGACTGTGTGTTGACTGGTTGTGTCTATGGGGGATGGGGGGGAGGGGCTAACTCTCCAGCCCGTCTCTTCACAGTCGAGTCTCGTGAGTAACTTTACTCACACTTATTAATCTATAGTCATGTTTCAAAACGCTATTCTTATTACCATCACTTTTCTTGTTGTTGATGTCCTATTAATGTGTGTTTTTGTTTCTACTTGTTTAAAATCTCTAGATGTATTTCCCCTCGAGTTTCTTTGCTACTGTCATTCTCTTTTTCTTACAAAGTCTCATATGTTTGCAATTGCTTGGGTTGAATTCCAGAAGCCACGTTTCTGACCACTCAGTAGGCTGTTACGTCGGTGTTGTTGTTTGCTGATGCCACTCATCATCTGCAATGTCGTGCAAGAGTCCACTTTCACTGGTCGGTCATTGACATTAGGGAAAGGCAGCCAGTACCTCCCATTCTCTCTGATTGTGGCTTTCTCACAGTGATCTTATAGGTTAGGTAATAATTGTAATTACGAAGCAATAAGATGCTTATCTTAAGATACTAACAAGGTTAGGTAAGGTCGGTGTTTTCTATGAATCTTTTTAAGGGTATCTATTATGTTATGTCACCTATGCACATATTTAATAAGTCAATATTGACTTATTAAATTTGCGAGAACGGGTTGCAATATTGACTTATTAACTACGTGCATAGGTGATATACTAAACATAATAGATACCCTTAAAAAGATTCATAGAAAACACCGACCTTACCTAACCTTGTTAGTATCTTAAGATAAGCATCTTATTGCTTCGTAATTACAATTATTACTTAACCTATACCTATTATAGGTTAGGTAATAATTGTAATTACGAAGCAATAAGATGCTTAAGATACTAACAAGGTTAGGTAAGGTCGGTGTTTTCTATGAATCTTTTTAAGGGTATCTATTATGTTTAGTATATCACCTATGCACGTAGTTAATAAGTCAATATTGACTTTACGAATTTGCGAGAACGGGTTGAATAAATTATTATGTCATGTCAAGAGGTCAAGTACATTGTGGTATCAAAGGATTTATGGGCTATCATGTTAAGTGCTCGGTTAACCATCTTGTCAAGGGGCTGGCAAGCTGTCATGTCAAGGGGTTCGAACGTTGCAGTCATGTACAGGGGAAACACTACACGAAGGGGGAGGGGAAATCGACCCCAGGTAACAAGTGTTGAAGCGAAGGGGGAGCACTAATGAGGGTAGTGTTAAGTAATTGAAGCGTGCATTAAGACACATAAGGATATACTAAGACACTCTCCCACTGGCAATTATCCTTATGTAACCATTAAACTCACTTTATTATCATCTACTTTAATTTATACTTTAGACTTAGTATTTATAATCATACCTGTGCAGCATTTAAACTTTAAACAAATTAAATATTAGTTATTACAGTAACTTTATTATTATAAACGATAAAGTTATTAACAGCAATCATACTTAATACACACAGATATGTATATTGTACTTGGATGTAAATACACATAAAACACGGTACCCTGATGGTGCTGGACCACCATGTCAAAAAACACACATTTTAAAAGTACTTAACTTTTTTGAAAAGGAAACAAAAAAAAGGGGGGGGGGGGTTATTACATTGTAAAATATGCAGGTTTGGGGCCATGTTTGGCGGGAAATGGAAGGGGGAGGGGAAAGGTGGTGAGAGAAAAGTGAGAGAGAGGGAGGGAGGGGAAGGAGAAATACAAAGAGGGAAAAGAGGGAGAGAGAAAGAGAGAGACCAACATAGTGAGGATAGAGTTTGCAACTGATAATTTTGAGTCCCTGGTGAATGGTGGACACCGCCACTTTAAGCTTTCAAACAAATTACACGTAGGGGATGGGTTGTGACCTGGGGGGGCTGTGACCTGGGGGTTGTGACCTGGGGAGGGTTGTGACCTGGGGGGTTGTGACCTGGGGGGAGGGTTGTGACCTGGGGGTTGTGACCTGGGGAGGGTTGTGACCTGGGGGGAGGGTTGTGACCTGGGGGGAGGGTTGTGACCTGGAGGGGTTGTGACCTGGGGGGATGTGACCTGGGGGGGGGTTGTGACCTGGGGGGGCTGTGACCTAGGGGGGGAGGGTTGTGACCTGGGGGTTGTGACCTGGGGGCTGTGACCTGGGGGGAGGGTTGTGACCTGGGGGTTGTGACCTGGGGGGGGGTGGGGGGAGGGTTGTGACCTGGGGGAGAGGGTTGTGACCTGGGGAGGGTTGTGACCTGGGGGTTGTGACCTGGGGGGGGTTGTGACCTGGGGGGGGTTGTGACCTGGGGGGTTGTGACCTGGGGGGGAGGGGTTGTGACCTGGGGGGTTGTGACCTGGGGGGTTGTGACCAGGGGGGGTTGTGACCAGGGGGGGGTTGTGACCTGGGGGGTTGTGACCTGGGGGGTTGTGACCTGGGGGGTTGTGACCTGGGGGCTGTGACTTGGGGGGGGGGGGGTTGTGACCTGGGGGGTTGTGACCTGGGGGGGTTGTGACCTGGGGGCTGTGACTTGAGGGGGGAGGGTTGTGACCTGGGGCGGCTGTGACCTGGGGGACTGTGACCTGGGGGGACTGTGACCTGGGGGGGTGACTGTGACCTGGGGGGGCTGTGACCTGGGGGACTGTGACCTGGGGGACTGTGACCTGGGGGGGCTGTGACCTGGGGGGACTGTGACCTGGGGGGGGACTGTGACCTGGGGTTGTGCCCTGGGAATGCTCCCCCATGCTGTGTCAGTCCACTTGTCACCTGATATATGTTTGATCTCCAGTCCTGTTCATCTATCCTGGCTTTAATATGGATGCGCCCTCTCCCTCCTCCTCCTCCTCCTATCTCATCTATCCAATCGTAAACTCACTGGCCCACTCATTCACTCATAATATATTCATACATACATAAAACGACATGTATACAAACACACATGTATACATGAATATATACATAAATACAGGAACTTCATTTTTCTCTATCTTGCTCCGTTCCTCAGGAGATACGTTATCAGGTTTAAGGATGAAGAAAGGATGTAAGACATGATAATTAAGTGGGCATGTTAAGATAAACAGGAGGTGGTAAGGGTTATACTTAATGACAAAAAAAAACACAAGATTTCGTTAATGGAGAAGCGGCCGGGTTGAAATGACCTGATGTAAGGTAACATCTCTTATGGCACACCATTCATTTCTGACCATAAAGCCTTTCCTCTTGATCCCTGGTCTTCGTCTGCATGAGAGGGAGCGAGAGAGGGCCAAAGAGAGAGGGCCAGAAACCGAGGAAGGGCCAAAGAGAGAGGGCCAGAAACCGAGGAAGGGCCAAAGAGAGAGGGCCAGAAACCGAGGAAGGGCCAAAGAGAGGGCCAGAAACCGAGGAAGGGCCAAAGAGAGAGGGCCAGAAACCGAGGAAGGGCCAGAGAGAGAGGGCCAGAAACCGAGGAAGGGCCAAAGAGAGAGGGCCAGAAACCGAGGAAGGGCCAAAGAGAGAGGGCCAGAAACCGAGGAAGGACCAGAGAGAGGGGGGCCAGAAACCGAGGAAGGGCCAGAGGGAGAGGGCCAGAAACCGAGGAAGGGCCAGAGAGACAGAGAGAGAGAGAGAGAGGGGGGGGAGGGGGATGGGGTGGTCGTCAGAACAGATACGCACATTAACCGACACCAGTGAATCAATACGCCCTTTTACCACACACAATGGAGCGTAAAAACAGGCCGCACTGTAAATCTATACAGCGAGGAATAAGCCAATAACGACAGAGGAGTCCTAAGTGCAGCTCTAATACCAGTCGCCCTTGAGAAATTTTTTAACAACTAGAAGCACGTTCATTTTTCAGACCTGGCAGCGTCCACGAGTAACTCAACACTAAGGAATTTATTAGAGAAATGTTCCTTAGTGCTAGTTGCGTGAGGCCCGTCAACTGGAAGGATGGTTGACGGGCCTTGTCAACCTGCTCCATCATAGCCCCTGCTGGAGGCTTGACACCTCCGTCAACCTGCTCCATCATAGCCCCTGCTGGAGGCTTGACACCTCCGTCAACCTGCTCCATCATAGCCCCTGCTGGAGGCTTGACACCTCCGTCAACCTGCTCCATCATAGCCCCTGCTGGAGGCTTGACACCTCCGTCAACCTGCTTCATCATAGCCCCTGCTGGAGGCTTGACACCTCCGTCAACCTGCTCCATCATAGCCCCTGCTGGAGGCTTGACACCTCCGTCAACCTGCTCCATCATAGCCCCTGCTGGAGGCTTGACACCTCCGTCAACCTGCTCCATCATAGCCCCTGCTGGAGGCTTGACACCTCCGTCAACCTGCTCCATCATGGCCCCTGCTGGAGGCTTGACACCTCCGTCAACCTGCTCCACCATAGCACCTGCTGGAGGCTTGACACCTCCGTCAACCTGCTCCATCATAGCCCCTGCTGGAGGCTTGACACCTCCGTCAACCTGCTCCATCATAGCCCCTGCTGGAGGCTTGACACCTCCGTCAACCTGCTCCATCATAGCCCCTGCTGGAGGCTTGACACCTCCGTCAACCTGCTCAACCATAGCACCTGCTGGAGGCTTGACACCTCCGTCAACCTGCTCAACCATAGCCCCTGCTGGAGGCTTGACACCTCCGTCAACCTGCTCCATCATAGCCCCTGCTGGAGGCTTGACACCTCCGTCAACCTGCTCAACCATAGCCCCTGCTGGAGGCTTGACACCTCCGTCAACCTGCTCCATCATAGCCCCTGCTGGAGGCTTGACACCTCCGTCAACCTGCTCCATCATAGCCCCTGCTGGAGGCTTGACACCTCCGTCAACCTGCTTCATTATGGCCCCTGCTGGAGGGTTGTTAGGTAGGATTTGCTTCCCTAAAGAGATGTTTATTTACATACGTAATCCCAAGTGTATAGTTAAACCAAATCCTATTGCAGGCGAAAAGTCACAATAACGTGGCTAAAGCATGTTGACCAGACCACACACTTGAAGGTGAAGGGACGACGACGTTTCGGTCCGTCCAGGACCATTCTCAAGTCGATTGTGAGAATGGTCACAATCGACCATTGAGAATGATCCAGGACGGAGCGAAACGTCGTCGTCCCTTCACCTTCTAGTGTGTGGTCTGGTCAACTTTTCCTATTCATTTTTTCGAGTAGTTTGCAAGGGATTTTTGCGTGGCATTTATCATTCTTGCATGACATCTTGCAACAGCTAGGTATATATATATCTTTGCAATTACATGTGTATAGATGTTTGCGTGCGTGTATGTGTGTGTGGAGTTATATGTGCACGTGTATTACGTGTGTGTGCATCACTATGTCATGTTCATACATGCGTGTATATGTTCATACACAGGTGTATGTGCGCGCGTGTATACGTATACAGGTATGTATATATGCGCGGAATTTACCCGCCTCCCTTTTCTCAGTTGATAAAATAAATCATGCAGTCCCACTTGGGATTGAGGGATTGAGCACAGGAGTGACGTCCGCTCTCTCCTCTCCCTTGGGTCCTACTCCACCAGGCACTCATCTCCAGTGCCACTCCTCTTTCTTCTTCCCTCCTCCTCCCATCCCAATGCCACATCCCTCTCCCTATCCCCTTCCCTTCCCTCTCCCTCTCACCCTCCTTCCCTCCCTCCCTCCCTAATCTCTCTCTCTCCCTCTCTCAGTGTTCTCACCCCCCGAGGGCCCACAACTGTGGAGACCTACACCTGCCACTGCCAATAGTGACCGGGGTACTGCCATCTCTCCCGCCTCGGGAGAGACCCTAAACGCCACAATTATGAGCATGTTTAAGAGTATGCGAGTATACATGAGGGCTTCTGCATGCATGATGGCGCTCAGCTGGTCTCCAGGAGTTTGCTGAATTAGGCCAACAGCTGGGGAAGCTGAGGGGGATTGGAGAGGGAGGGGGGGGGGGGGTTGGAGAGGGGGGATTCGGGAGGAGGGGGGGGATTATTAACCCACAGAGGCTTGAGCCTTCACTTCTTCCGCTCCGTGTGAGGGGGGAGTACAAGCCTCGCTCCATCACCTGGGGATTAATTACTGATGGGTTCACTTGCGGTCAGCGCCTGTACCTGTGTCCTACACGTGGGTTGGTGCACGGGTCCTGCCCCCCCACCCCCTGGTCAGGCCCCCCCCCAACCCACCCCCCACCCCCTGGTCAGGCCCCCCCCCCAACCCACCCCCTGGCCAGTCCAGGGTAACTCCGACGGGGTTATTTCTCTCTCTCTCTCCCCTTCCGTCAAGCGGGCAACCCATTGTACAGATAGATGGCTCTTTCAGCAACTATTTGGTCAAACAGACAAAAATGTAGTGTTGGAGCAACGAAGATCTCGCCTTGTAGTATTGGATCACCCTACATGGCAGGGTTAAAACTCGAACAATAATCACCGAACCTGTCCTAGGTCTAATGTCATGGGTTAATTAGGTATATATATATACACACCCATCTAGTTGTACTCGCCTAGTTATGCTTGCGGAGGTTGAGCTTCAGCTCTTTGGTCCCACATTTCGACCGTTAATCAACTGGTGTACAGGTTCCTGAGCCTACTGGGCTTTATCATATCTACATTTGAAACTGCGTATGGAGTCAGCCTCCACCACATCACTGCCTAATGCATTCCACCTGTTAACTACTGACAAATGTATTTATAATGACTCAATAGGTCTATTTGAGTCCTAAGCTTCCACTTGTGTCCCCTTGTCCGTGTTTCCACCCAAGCTAAATAGTTTGTTTTTGTCCACCTTGTCAATTCCCCTGAGAATTTTGTAGGTGGTGATCATATCTCTCCTAACTCGTCTGACTTACAGGGACGTGATATTTAATTCCCGTAGCCTTTCCTCGTAGCTCATACCTCTCGGCTCTGGAACTCGTCTGGTGGCATAGCACTGAATCTTCTCTAACTTTGTCTTGTGTTTAACTAGCTAAGGCCTCCAGGCAGGAGTCCATGTGTGTGTGTGTGGGTACAGGAGGCCTAGGAAACTAAGTTTAGTGTTGGGCTTGATTATGTTGGTACCTTGAACGAATTAATACCATGCAACATGAACTCCGTTGGCTGCAACAGTCAAATTTGTATACCTTCGACCAAACAGTTGCAAGCACTAGACGTGTATCAAGCTGGGCAACCCCCACTCCTCTTGGCCCCCCCCACCCTCTCTCCTCTTGGCCCCCCCCACCCTCTCTCCTCTTGGCCCCCACCCCCCACTCTCTCTCCTCTTGGCCCCCACCCCCCACCCTCTCTCCTCTTGGCCCCCACCCCCCACCCTCTCTCCTCTTGGGCCCCCCCACCCTCTCTCCTCTTGGGGCCCCCCCACCCTCTCTCCTCTTGGCCCCCCCACCCTCTCTCCTCTTGGCCCCCCCACCCTCTCTCCTCTTGGGCCCCCCCACCCTCTCTCCTCTTGGTACCCTCTCTCTCCTCTTGGTACCCTCTCTCTCCTCTTGGGCCCCCCCTCTCTCCTCTTGGGCCCCCCACCCTCTCTCCTCTTGGCCCCCCCACCCTCCCTCCTCTTGGGCCCCCCACCCTCTCTCCTCTTGGGCCCCCCACCCTCTCTCCTCTTGGGCCCCCCCACCCTCTCTCCTCTTGGGCCCCCCTCTCTCCTCTTGGGCCCCCCCTCTCTCCTCTTGGCCCCCCCCACCCTCTCTCCTCTTGGCCACCCCTCTCTCCTCTTGGCCCCCCCTCTCTCCTCTTGCCCCCCTCTCCTCTTGGCCCCCTCTCCTCTTGGCCCCCCTTCTCCTCTAGGCCCCCCCTCTCCTCTTAGCCCCCTCTCCTCTTGACCCCCCTCTCCTCTTGGCCCCCCTCTCCTCTTGGCCCCCCTCTCCTCTTGGCCCCCCCTCTCCTCATGGCCCCCCCCTCTCCTCTTAGCCCCCCTCTCCTCTTGGCCCCCCCTCTCCTCTTGGCCCCCCCTCTCCTCTTGGCCCCCCTCTCCTGTTGCCCCCCCTTCTCTTGGCCCCCCTCTCCTCTTGGCCCCCCTCTCCTCTTGGCCCCCCTCTCCTCTTGGCCCCCCTCTCCTCTTGGCCCCCCCCTCTCCTCTTGGCCCCCCTCTCCTCTTGGCCCCCCCTCTCCTCTTGGCCCCCTCTCCTCTTGGCCCACTCCACCGTTCAATGTTAGTCTCACTGGGGTCAGCACTTACAGCCTTGGGAGTCTAGCAGTGTCGGCCAGACACCGGCCAGGTCACCGGCCAGATCACAGAGGTCTACTGTTGAGGGATGAGCCGGATATAGGGGGAGGGAGAGAGAAGGGGGGTTAAGCAAGTGAAGCCCTCGACACTATCTGGGTGGCAGGAGCCCAGGTAGGAGTCAGGAAAGAAGACGGAGAGGGAGTGAGGAAGGGCAGGGAGAAATAATGGGAAGCAGACAGAAAAGGAGAAGGGGGAAATATAGTAAGAAGAGGCAAGGAGAGTGAAGAGGGGGGAACTAGAGTGAAGAGGGGGGAACGAGAGTGAAGAGAGGGGAACGAGAGTGAAGAGAGGGGAACGAGAGTGAAGAGAGTGAGGGGAACGAGCGTGAAGAGAGAGAGGGGAACGAGTGAAGAGTGAGAGGGGAACGAGAGTGAAGAGAGAGAGGGAACGAGAGTGAAGAGAGAGAGGGGAACGAGAGTGAAGAGAGAGAGGGGAACGAGAGTGAAGAGAGGGGGAAACGAGAGTGAAGAGAGAGAGGGGAACGAGAGTGAAGAGGGGGAAGGAGAGTGAAGAGGGGGGGGAAGGAGAGTGAAGAGGGGGGAAGGAGAGTGAAGAGAGGGGAACGAGAGTGAAGAGGAGGGGAACGAGAGTGAAGAGGAGGGAACGAGAGTGAAGAGGAGGGGGGAACGAGAGTAAAGAGAGGGGAACGAGAGTGAAGAGAGAGAGGGGAACGAGAGTGAAGAGGGGAAAAATAAACCCTCCCCTGCCATTCCCACTCAAAAAAAAAACACTTTCTAAAAAAACAAAACAGTTGATAATCTTAGTTCTATCTCACATGAACCCAAACACGAACAAGCAGCTTGTGTGACGAGTTAGGAGCTGTGCAGGTCCCGCCCTCCCCCACCACCAGACCCCCACAGACGAGCCACAAGGTGCACGAGCCGCCCCCGGCACCTAACGATGATGCAACACCAATTTCCAGTCGTTTTAATCTCGCTTTATTAGTCCTGGAGACAAGAGGGAGGGCTAAGATTGGAGAGGGGAGAAGGGAAGAGGCACGGGAGAGGGGGAAGAGTAGGAGAGTGAGAGGGAAGGGAGAGGGAGAACACAGGCGGTGATGATAACTAGATTGCACATTGCAAATCGGACATGTTTGGAAATGGGGGGCAATCACCTATAGAGTACAAAGATGAAATTGACATATTGGGTATGAAGTTTGACTCTTCTATGACAGTGAAGAGCCACGTGCTTAACCTAGTTTAGAAAGAAAGAAAGAAAGAAAGAGAGAGAGAGAGAGAGAGAGAGAGAGAGAGAGAGAGAGAGAGAGAGAGAGAGAGAGAGAGAGAGAGAGAGAGAGAGAGAGAGAGAGAGAGAGAGAGAGCGCACATGGGAAGTACAGTACTGCGGGTGGGATTGACAGGTACGTCACCTTTATTATAACTGTGGTCACCAGGCAGGTGTGTACTGCACCCTAAGGAGGGCTCGTGCACACACGCACACACACACACACACACACACACGCACACACACACGCACACACACACACACACAGCTTCTGTCTCTCATCATCCTCCTAATTACCAGACACTTCCTCCCCTCACAACTACTTACTGAGGATAGGACCGCACCCATCTCTCACTTACACCATACACCAAAGGAACCAAATAGGCAGAAAACATACGTGAATTCTATAAACAGTTTCAAAGG